ATAAAGTCTGCCTTCCTTGTCACAGCCCTCCGGATCCTACACACTCTGAGCTCTGACTTCACCTTCTTCTACTTTTCCCCTTATAACCCAGCCACACGGTCCCCTTTAGTCCTCAAAGATGGTCATTTCAGACACTATGTACCTACTGTTTCTGATGCCTAAAGACACGATGGCCAGGCTCTTTGCCAGGCTGGCTTCTTAAACTTTATCTCAGCTCAAATGTCACGTACTCAGATACTACCGACTACTGTGTCTCTATTACGTCACCTGCTCTTCCTCTTTCCATTCCCTAGCATAGTCTATAATACAGTAGTTTCATGCGGTTACTTGTTTCTGGGAGAAAGACGAGGCTTTCCTGTAAAGAACTACAGTCTCAGGAGCCCACAGGGTCAGTGCTGCTCTGTCCTATATGCTTGATCTGAGTTGGAATCACCTCCCAATGGACAGATCTTCCTTGAGGAGAGACTATCTATGTTTTGGCCAGTGTTCTATTCCTAGCACCAGAGACTGCCTGGCACGGGAGATACCCAACAGGAGACACTCTTACCAATCCAGAAGCAGAATCAGAAGAGCTGTGTTCCTTTACTAAGAGGTTCTTTACTTTACAGACCCTGGTTACTGAACCCCAAACCAAACTCACAGCCATCAAGTCGATTCGAGTCATAGTGACCCTACAAGGCAGAGTAGAACTGCCTGTATGTGTTTATGAGACTGTTTATATACCATAGTAGAAAGCCGTGGCTAGTGGACTCAAACTGCTGACCTTGCAGTTGGCAACCCAATGTGTAACCACTGCGCCAAACATATGGACTGCAGTGCTAGCATGGCATAGGCAATTTCACAAATGCAACCACATTAACATTAAAAGGATTGCTAGACAGAGGATAATTCTCAAAAATTCCTTTGGGCAACAAGTACATTTTCTACGACCAGTGGACTCCGAGTCCTGTTTGAAGTCATAACGTGCATTTTAGAGTTTAGTATTAGGGCCACAACAGTCTAGGCATTAAATCTTAAGTATTTTGAAATGAAAAAAATCTTTCAAATTAAAGAAGTAGGCAAAAATAAATACATAAATTTATCTATTTATGGATAAATTTTGGATAAATTTATCATATAAATTTATAGAAGCAAGTAGGCAAAAATAAATAGATAAATAAAAAGCATTCAGACTAGAAAGGAGGAAATAAAACCTATTCTATTGACAATCACATACTGTACATAAAAATCCCAAGGAAACTACAACCAAAACCAAAAAGAAACAAGCAGCTCTAATGAAGCTCAGCAACATTGCAGGTTATAAGATCATAGACAAAAATCCATTGTATTTCTATATGTCAGTAATGAATACCCCAAGATGGAAACAAAACAAAACAATTCCATTCACACTAGCATCAAAAATGAGCGAAATACTTAGGGATTAACTTAACCAAAAAAGTGAAAGAATTTATACACTGAGAACTACAAAACATGTTGAAAAGTTAGAATAGACCTAAACAAATGGAGGAATCTCAGGGGTTACAAGCACAGTTAATGCACTTAGCTGTTAACCACAAGGCTGATGGTTCAAGTCCAGCGAGGAGGCCTTGGGAGAAAGGTCTGGTGATCTACTTTCAGAAATCCAACCACTGGCAATGCTCTAGGGGACAGCTCCACCCTGGCACACATGGGGTTGTCATGGTCAGGACTGGCTCGCTGGCAACTGTTGTTTTTGTTGTTAAGTAAATGGGAAGACAGCCCATAGATCGGAAGGTTTAGTTTTGTTAAAATGGTAATATTTCTCAAATCAACCTGCAGATTCAACACAATCTTTATAAAAGTCTCAACTGCGTTTGACACAGAAATTGACAAGCTGAGCTTCAAATTCACAGCTCAGTGCCAGGAACCCAGTATCGCAAAGATAACCTTGAGGAACTAAGTGGGAGGATTCATCCTTCTGGATTTCCAAGCTTCCTACAAAGCAGCAGTACTCAAGGCAGTGTGGCACTGGCGTAAGACGGATGCACAGAGCAGTGGTACAGAACTGAGAAGCCAGAAATAAAACCTTTACTTGCTTGTATACGTGTTTTTCACTAAGGGCCCAAGACCATTCAGTGGAGGAAGAATAATCTTTTAAACAAATGGTACTTGGAAGACTGGATATACAAATGGAAAAGGATGAAGTTGGATCACTACCTTATACCTATAAGAAATTTAACTAAAAATGAATCAACAATCTTTTCCCCATTTCTTTTGTTTTCTTTAATGTATAGCAGCCCTTTCCCCCCTGTATGTTTTCTTCAAGAACTATGAATCAACAATCTTACGACACATGCTAAAACTCTAAAACTTTTAGAAAGGAGCAGGTGTAAGCTTCTGTGACTTTGGGTTGGGGAAGAGAATCTCTTTATGGGGTTTTGGTAAGCATGTAGCACTCTTTAGGGGAAGCTTGCTTTCACAGATTCTTAGCTGTGAAGAAAATGACAATTGTTAGAACCCTTGCATGAGCCTGATTTTCCTTTTTCTTAAAAGTGTCCCTGGACACCTTTAAAATTCACTTTGAAATAAAGCAGACTCATGCCTTCGATAATTTTATAGCCTATTAAGCTGTGACTATCAGTAAGCACATGCTCACAAAGGTGAGTTCCCAGACTGTTGTGATCATGTGTTTGTTAGAAATAAAGTTTTATTAGGCCAAATGTTGACACTGTAACCAAATGTCTCTGCAGGAATGGGAAGCAATGCCTTCGTGCTTTGCTTTACCAAAGATAAAGCTCCTTTGTCCTTTTCATCCCTTTGAAGTATTTATTCTGAGTCCCTTTCTGTAGCTGTACACTGCAACAGTAAGACATCACCGGGCGCCTTAAGGAACAGGAGACATGGTAGGTAGGCTTGTGTTTTGTTATCTCCAGTGAGCAGCTACCAGAAAGAAGGATCTCCTGAGATAAGCAAATGCCTTCTCATCACCCAGGAATTTCACTGCCCCATACAGACCCAGGAGAATTGAAAACATACAGCCACACAAAAAGGTGTACCCAAATGTTCTTATACTGGAAGTATCCTATCCTATAAGCCTCCTAAATGAAGAGGATGGGTAAGAGCTAGCCTTCCTCCCTCACCCATCCGAACTCTGGTCTCCTATTCCTTTTGTTATGCCCTGGTGTTATGAGAGGAGGCTACTTTTCAGGCTGTGCCCCTTGCTGCGTGGATGCGAGTTCATTTGTGGATGACGTTCCCACGCTCATATACATGCTCTGGTTTTATTTCCACAGAAAGAACAACAACAATAACAACAACAAAAAAGCCTGTTTGTGGAAGTACAGTAAAACAGACTCGATATTATAGAAGTCAGTGACCAAACAAATTATGGGGAAAACTGAGTGGAATGCTGCCTCTGAAAGCTTTGCTTTCGCCCGGTGCTGGCAGTCCAGTATTGGCTGCAGTCAAGAGGAACGGAGTTGTACAATGAATCAGCGGGGCCGTTTAGTAGCTGTGCTCAGATCCATTAGTACAACCAAAGAAAATGAAATTATAGTTTGAAAGACAAAATCTGCTTGTTTAAAGAATATTTTTAAAAATGAAAACCATTAAAAATATTAGTAACAGCCCTCATGGGAAATCAACATAAAACAAATCCATTCTTACTGGATTCAATGATTTGCTATTTTCTTACATCGACACACGCAGGATAAAAAGGGGAAAACACATTTTAGTTTTTTCCTTGGATGCTTCTTGAGAAGCCATCCCTTTTGAAAGACTGCACTAATGTTGACCCGGCACAGGCTGGCGGATGTGAACAGCCGTTCTAGGGTCAGATGTCCAGGTTCAAGGGTGCTTCTGCTATCACATAGCTGCAGTCCTTCAGCAAACCTTTCCTCAACCTCAAACTTCCTTCCTCTGAAAACTGGGGATGGAGAAAGTCCCTGCTTTCCTGGGAGTTCCATGAAATGTGACACAGAGGGCTCGGCAGTGTCTGACCTAGGTTAAGTGTGCAGGAAATATTAGCAAGGTGGCACAAATGGTTAAGTGTTCAACAAGCTGAAGAGGTTAGAGGTTCCCAGACACCCAGGGGTCTCTTGGAAGACCGGCCTGGTGATCTGCTGTCATCAAAGGAACAGCTGTGGAAACTTTAGTCCGCAGTTCTGTTCCACACTCACTGGGTTTGCCAGGGTCTGGAACTGACTTGGTGACTGCCAACAACAACAACAACAACAACAACAACAACAACAACAACAACAGTGATGTACGGGGATAGGTTGATTACCTGTGCTAGGTGACCGCTAACCTGCTCCTTAGAACAGAACTGAAATGGACGTTTTACACTGTAACACGTACAGGAGTGTTTGGACATGGCATACCGAGAAAAGATTTAATCCATTTTAAAAACAAGGTACATTTGTTCTGCATAGTCCCATGGCTCTCCAGTTTGTAAGTGGTGCTATGGGGGAGCTGCAGGGAGAAAAGGACTACCACAGGAAGGACCAACATCAACCCAACGGACATGCAGACAGCCACCAAACTAGCTTAGGGAGGGTTCAATGATACCATTTTACCATTAACCTTCACTCCTGTCATTTCTTATTTGGGGAAACTGCTGCAGAGAGACCAGAAAGTGTCTAGGATAATGATGTTTTTATGACTTCTAATGAAGACTTGTTATTGAAAATCTGTCCATTTCATTGGCAAGTTTTTGGCTCAAAAAGTAAGATCTTCATTTATAATTTGTAGGCAGCAATAACTAAAATCATGGGAAGTCACTGGGAAATAAAAAATAACTATTATGATGAAAACGACATAATTATCTTTCTCATTAGGAACGTGGAGCATCCTATTATCATTAGGATGTGCACCCTCTGTTTAACAGCTGCTGTTAGTGAACTAAAACACATTGGCGTGGGAGAGAAAATACATTACGGATCCCCCAAATGGTGAAAAACGGATACTGCGGGAAATGGGTGTGAACTGGAGCAGAACCCGGTAGGATGCACGGCAGTGATGGACGCCGTCCCGGGGCCACTTACAGATGCGTCAGGAGTCCGCCTCAGCTTTTCCCCCGAGACTTCTTTTAGGAAGGTTTTGTTTATTGAAGCCGGCACTTGATGGACTGGACGATCCTTCACTTTGAACATGGGATCTGGCGTTTTCTGAGCGGATTCACACCTTTTCCCAGGGGGAGAAAGGCACGGCGTAGGCACCAAACGTGTTTGGACGTCGGAATTCTGCCTTTCGGAGGCTCCTGCTCCTGCTGCAGCGCTTCTGGGGTGTCCTTTCTGAGTCTGTGTGCCGGGCTTCCCCAGCGTGCTCTCGCCTGCCACCGGAGGAAGCCACAAAGGACTGGTGCCTGGGCCTGGAGAGCCCTGGGCACTGTGGCTAGCCTAGGTTGGAGAACAAAGTGAGAAATCACTTTGAGCAGAAATGTGTGATGGATAAGTTATTGCAAATATATAACTTTACCATACGCTCATATAGTCCATGAATAAAAGTCGCTATTTTAATTTGCAATGAAAATTACAATCCAATTAACTAAAAAGAGCAAGGAAGGTAGGTAGAAGCCACTTGCTACTAAAAGTCTCTGATAATTATTGTAGGGTAGATTTATTGTTCAAGAGCAATTCATAACAAAACAAGTTATTTTTTTTACTAATTCTTTTGCCCCTAAGAACATTTAAGAATCAGTCATCCATATGTGTTCTAGAACATCTTCTAGAACATAGGAACTTAGCTAAAACATCTAAGAATTATCTTGTGACATACAGATAAGCTAGGTGCATGCACCAACCAAAAATAGTATCTACTTTATTTAAGGAGGAACTGTGGATTTACCAAAGTATGTTTGTAGTATGTTAGAGCAGTTTTTGTTCAAAATCAATAGATAGCACGTCTTGTAAAATACTTTTATGACACGAACATTTCAATTATACAAATATTTTCCCCCACAAAATATGAAATTTATTGAATGTAATTGGAAAGCTGAAAGTGAAAGTTTTCTGAATTTTCTAAGTGTGGATAGCTTTGTCATTATCCCCAGGAAAGCAAAAGGTAAAAAAAATTTAAGCCTGGGAAAGAAGAATTACATAAAAGTTACATAAAAATCAAAAACAAAACAAAAAGAAAAATCAAGGACCATGAAAGTAAATAATGTAAACACAAAATACAGTGCTTTTTAGGTTGGTAGAGTTTTATGTTATAAACGAATAAATTTAATGAAATAATGAATGTGACCATTGCTTGTACGTGTCATAGCAGATTTTTAAAAATTCCATCTGTTTAAATGTGTAATAAATAAATGGATGTTAAAAATGATACTTTGAATGGGAACAAGTCAAGAAAGGCCGAGCACATTTTAAAGACATCCTTTGGTATCTGACATAATATGGACATTCCGTTTCAGTCAGCAATTCCACCACCTCTCCACTTACAGTCTTACAGCATCAAGCATCCATCCAGTTATTTCTAAACTTTGGCATCTTAAAAATAAAAAGTTTGGGTGGCTGATTAGACTGTTCATTTTATTTTTGAATGTTTAGCCATCAACACACTCGACGGAAGGTGGCATTTCCCCCGCAGAGGGAGAAAAAGGGGAAGCACTAGCATTAGGTTAGGCCTGGGGCAAAGGAGGAATTTATCAGAGGCGCTCTAGTAGCGCAGTGGTTATGAGTTGGGCTGCAATCCTCAAGGTCAGTAGTTCAAAACCACCAGCCATTCCTTGGGAGCCTTGGGAGAAAGCCGGGGCTCTACTCCCATAAGCAGTTACAACCTTACACACTCCCAAGCACAGTTCTTCCCTGTCCTACATGGTTGCTATGAGTCGGCATTGAGTTGACGGCAATGAGTTTGATTTGGATCTGGTTTGGTTTAATTAGAAGAGGAGCCAGGGTGGTGTTGTGAGTTATGAGTTGAGCTGCTAAATATAAAGTCAGCAGTTCGAAACCACCAGCAGCTCCATGGAAGATGAGGTTTTCGACTCCCTTGCAGATTTAGTCTTGGTAGAAACCCCAAATCCATTTGCAGGGCCCCCACAGGATTAAGTAAGTTTCCAGTGACTCTCCTCTGACCATAGTCCAAGGATGTGAGTAACTTTGCTATCAGACAGAGAGCATTGTAAAGTTGATTCTGGCAGATGTTACTAAGTTAAAGAGTAACACCTTATTATTTGATCTCCCTTTGGATCCATTTTAAAGTTGTTTGAATTTTCAATATTTTCTGCTTTCTTTTTTAGTTTTTCAATCAACAATTTATACACATTTTGTTTTAAAACATTGGTTACAATACCCGAAATGTAATATATCACCACAATCAATTTTAGGATATTTTCTCCTGTCTTGTACTCATTGTTATTAGCTCCTCATTTCTCCCCAACCTCCCCTGACATCCCCGCTCAAGTGCCCATGTTTAGCCATCAACACACTCGACGGAAGGTGGCATTTCCCCCGCAGAGGGAGGAAAAGGGGAAGCACTAGCATTAGTTCCTTCCCAAGAAACCATTAATCCAGTTACGGTCCCAATAGATTTACCTATCTTGGATTTCATACACAGGAACACATACCAAATAAATAACATAAAACAGAGAAAATTCTCAATCAACAAGAAAGCCAAAAACATTAAAAACTAGAACTAATTTAAAATGGGAACACAGAAGGTAGGGATGCTATAGAAATGAGATGGTGCCCCGCTCTCAGCTAAAATAGTACATGGGGTCTTAAAGGCTTGTCTCCAAACAAGCAGCCAACTAAGTGAGATGCCAACTAAGATGTGGAGGAAGCACAGCATCATCAGTCACCTAGGATTGTAAATCATATAATCCGAAGTTGAAGGAGGGATGAGTATCAGAGCCTCAATTGTGTGAAGCCTGTGGATGACAATGGGAGCCCAAGATTCATTTGTGGGACCTACATAGAAAGCAGCCTCCGGCGAACTCCCTCTCGCCACAGTTGAGGGCTGGGAGGAGAGTGGTTACTAAACAGAGTGCATTGCAGAGATGAGTGTAGAAGATCAAAGGCTTGAGAGATCTGCCTGGACCAGCTAAAACTTTTGTCAGTTGATCCCCCCTCTGATGCATGCTGAACCTGATCTGGTTTTCAACATTTTCTGTACTTTTGTTTTTGTTTGTTCATATTAGGGTGAGTCTCAGAGGTGTTAGGTCATCAGGGTCACCCTCTTGAAGTCATGTGATATATTTTTCTGTTTTTCGGTATGTGAAACCCAGGGACAGCAAGCAGAATAAAGGTCTCGGTGGGTGGGGGATCTGTGGTGGTGGTGGTGGTGGTGGGCACAGTAAAAGGGAGATGATGCCAAGGAGTCCAGGAAGAAAAAGAATGTTTGGAAACTGATTGTGGTAGCAATTGTACAATTCTGCTTGACGTGATTGAACTATGGAATGATATATGTATGAAATCCCAAATTAATAACAAATTATCAATAAAATACAATAAAATGGGTCAAGAGGGAGATCAAACGATAAGGTGTTAGATTTTAACCTAACTGCATCTGCAATAATCCACTTTGCAAAGCATCCTGCCTGACAGAAAGGCGCCTCACGCCCCTGGTCCGTGGTCTGCTTTCCTGCCCATTGAGGTTTTCTCTCTTGTTTTGTCATTGCTGTGTTGTTTGCTTCCTGTTTAGAGTTTGATATGATTTTCTGTATATGAAATCCAGGAGAGGTAAATCATAGAGACAGTAACCGGATCAATGATTACCTAGGGGCATGGCAGGGGAGCTAACAATAGTGAGTACGAGAAAGAAGAAAACATTCTGAAATGGATTGTAGTGGTCATTGCACAAATCTTGTTAGTATGACTGAACTATTACATTGTATCTTATGTGAATTATGTGCCAATAAAACTATTTTTAAAAAAGATTCACAGTTTCAAAAACCTACAGGGCAGCTCTACTCGGTCCCGTAGGGTCACTATGAGTTGGAAGTGACTCGTTGGCAGTGAAAATGGTTTCAGCGTTTGGCTTAATTAGAAGGGTGCATGCACAGGACAGGCTGTATGTACGCATGTTTGTATCCCCAATCTATCATTGCCCTGTCTCTTTTCAACTTCCCCATGGGTCAGGTGTTGCTCTAGGTGCTGCAGGTACAGGGGATGGAATGGCAGCCCACAGCGCAGTCCCTGCCTTCCAGGAACTTTATCCTGGAAGCAAGGAGGAGAGTCTGTGTGTGGTTTGAAGTTGAGGAATGCCGCAATGAGATTTACATTTCAGAAAGAGCTCTCTAGCGGTACAAAATAGAGAGCAGGGGTGTGTGTTTGTGTAAATGGTTGAGTTGTGGAGACCTTAGAAACAGGAGACCAAATTAGGAGAGCACTGTATGGTCAGGACTAGAACTGTCCAGGGGGACTGTCTTAAGGCCATGAGGGGGATGGCAGGGAAGTTGGAGTGATCTGAGAGTAGGTTGTACTTAGTGACTTTCTGGAAAATCTCTCACATAGAGTCTGGATCCCTGATTCTGTCATGTTTTGAGTTTTCCTTCTTAAGCAAAGTAGTGGCAATTAATTTGCAGATCATTGTGTTCCCAAGGCAAGTGCCTTGGGACTTTCCTTCAAAGACATCTTCCCTATCTGTAGTAAATAACGAGAATGGCAGTGTCTAAGGCCTTCTCATGAACATTTCTTCTTGGTATCCATTCTGGGCCTGTATTCTTTGTCTATGCTATTTATCTTCTGATACATGTTTCCCGATAAATGATGGAAAGATGAATCTTCCAGGGGGCCAAGTGGAGCACACAAATGACAGCTATTGTCACCAGGGGCCCTTACTTTGTTTTCCAAATGAGAAAATAAGATGAGCAGGACCATTTCTGCTCTGGGTGCAGTCACTGTATAGTCTCAATTGCACGTATTAGGCAACTCCGTGCTGCCCACCACTGAGTGAGGGAGCTTATCCTTCCCTAGCTAGCACTTTGGGGACCCTGGGGATATCCATATAGCTGAAGAACCTTGCCTTTGGGCAGTTATTATATACAGAGGAATACTCATGAGCTGTATATGGAGAGTCATCCTCCATTTTTCCTAAATAAAGTCTGGGTTTGGAGATGGGCTCAGAAGATGTTTATGTATCTGTAAGCATCATGTGGGGATCTAAAAGAATCACCTACGGATCTTGCTAAATTGTAGATTCTGATTCTGTGTATCTGTTGTGGGTAGGAACCTTCTCAGCAAGGGCTTGAACAGAAATGAACTGGTTCCAAACCTTGGTACAACAGAAGATCTATGGGGCCAATGAACTGTGATGTCCCATGAAGCCATGACCCTAAGTCTGTCTCCAAGCTAAGGAACCAAATCCCACGAGGATTTTAATTCTAAATACACAAGCTCACGCTACCATCACTGAACATTTTGATCACAGATTCTATGGAGGAGTCCGGATCAAA